AACCGAGTAGACAATCTCTCTCTCTCTCTCTCTCCTCTCTCTCGCTCTCTGTCACTCTTTCAAATAAATAAATCTTGAAAAGTAAATAAATAAAGATCATGATAGAGATAAAGATGTCTACAGCCACTACTTCCTTCTGTGTTATATTGACAGTCTTAGGCAAGGAAATAGAAATCAAAAATTTCAAAAATACAGCATATATGGCTTGCTGGTAGGCTGGATGTGGGGTAGAGAGAAAGAGAGGAATTAAGAGTAACTGAATTCTCTTGCCTGAGCATGTAACACAGTGGATTTATTGAGATGGGGAAGACTTAGAGAAAAGCTGGGGTAGAAGGACAGGAGTCAAGAATTCTCTTTTTGTTCTCATCAATTTTGAAAACCCAATTAGATATCCAAATGAAGATGACGAAGGAGCAATTGAATATAGGAGTTTAGAGCGCAGAGGAGAAGTTGGGACAAGAGAGAGAAAATGTGAGTAATCAGCATACGGACAGAATTTAAAGCTGTGGAGTTAACGAAGTGACCCACAATGTCTATGGAAGGGAAGGGAGAAGGAGGGGAGGGGAGGGGAGGGGAGGGGAGGGGAGGGGCCCAATAATTAGCCCTGAGCACTCCACTATTTAGAGGCCAGGAAAATGAAGAAGAATCTGCAAAGATGACCGACCGGCACAGCAGGTTAAGCCACAGCTTGGGACACTTGCATCAATATCCTAGTGCTCCCAGAACACCTACAGTAAACATGACATTTAATAAAGAGATTAATGAGAATGAGAGGGGCCGGCACTGTGGTGTACTGGGATAAGCTTCCTCCTGCAGCGCCAGCATCCCATGTGGGCACTGGTTTGAGTCTCAGCCGCTCCTCTTCCGATCCAGCTCTCTGCTGTGGCCTGGGAAAGCAGCAGAAGATGACCCGAGTACGTGGGCCCCTGTACTCACATGGGAGACCCGGAAGAAGCTCCTGGCTCCCAGCTTCCGGCTGCATATTGGCCCAGCTCTGACCATTGTGCCCATCTGGGGAGTGAACCAATGGATGGAAGACCTCTCTCTCTGTTTCTCCCTCTCTCTATAACTCTACCTCTCAAATAAATAAATAAAATCTAAAAAATAAATAAATAAAATGAGAATGAGTCCTGTTTCTGCTTCAAATCCAACTTTGCTAATGTGGAGGCTGCCCGGTTGTTGCAAGCACTTGAGGAATGAACCAGCAGATGGAAAGTCTCTCTCTCACTCTCTCTCTCCTACTCTGTCTTTCAAACAAGTAAATATTTTTAAATTAATAAGTAAATCTGATAAGTCTCTAACCACCAATGTACATGGAATATGGGAAACTGAGGAACATACTACATTGCACTAGGGTCTGAGCGTTTAGCCTAGTGGTTAAGGCACCTGTCGAGACAGCCCCATCTCCACTGGGGAATCGAGGCCAGAGTCTCAGCTCTGACGACTGATTCTAGCTTTCTGCTAATGCAAACTCTGGAAGGCAATGGTAATGGGTCCCTAACGCTCACATGGGACACCTGAATTGAGCTCCTGGCTTTGGCCTGGCCCAGCCCTACTGTTAGGGGCATCTGGGGAGTGAACCAGCAGATGGCAGCATTCATTCTTTCTCTCTCTCTCCCTCTCCCTCTGAAATAAATTTTAATTTTTAAAATAAATCACACCAGAAAAAGTTCAGAAAAATTCTGACTTTGAGAAACTCTATTGGACAAATGACTAGGTTTCTTGAAAGAGAGAGAGAGAGAGAGAGAGAGAGAGAGAAGGAAAGAAGGGAGGAATAGGAAGGGGGCAAAAAGGTAAAGGAGGGTTTTGTTTTGTTTTGTTTTGTTTTGTTTTAATTTTATTTGAGGGGCTGGCGCTGTGGCATAGTAGGTAAAGCCGCCACCTGCAGTGCCGGCATCCCATTTGGAAACCGGTTCAAGTCCTGGCTGCTCCACTTCCAATCCAGCTCTCTACCATGGCCTGGGAAAGCAGTAGAAGATGGCCCAAGTCCAGGCTGGCGCCATGGCTCACTTGGTTAATCCTCTGCCTGCAGTGCCGCCATCCCACATAGGTGCTGGGTTCTAGTCCCAGTTGCTCCTCTTCCAGTCCAGCTCTCTGCTGTCGCCCGGGAGGGCAGTGGAGGATGGCCCAAGTGCTTGGGTCCTGCACCTGTATGGGAAACCAGGAGGAAGCTCCTGGCTTCAGACCGGCACAGTGCCAGCCGTAGTGGCCATTTGGGGAGTGAACCAACAGAAGGAAGACCTTTCTGTCTCTCTCTCTCTCACTGTCTAACTCTATCAAGTAAATTTAAAAAAAGAAGAAGAAGATGGCCCAAGTCCTTGGGCCCCTGCACCCATGTGGGAGACCTGGAACAAACTCCCGGCTGCTGGCTACAAATCAGTCCAGTCCCAGACATTGCAGCCATTTGGGGAGTGAACCAGCGGATGGAAGACCTCTCTCTCTGTCTCTCCTTCTCACTACCTATAACTCTACCTCTCAAATAAATAAATAAAATCTTTTTAAAAGATAAAAATAAATTGCCCGGGGTGTTGAGCTTGTCCTCCCTAAGGCTGACTGACTCTGGACACCAGCAATCATCAGGATTTCCCATTTTACCTCCCATAGTAGTTGAACGTCTCCTCCTCCCCCTGTTCATCAACCCACTCCTTGTCCAGCCCTTCACCTCCGGTCACAGCCTCCTTCCTGCTGAGGATCCACACACAGTCACACAACCACCCAGTGATCTTTCTGGAACCGGCACCTGGGGGTCAGCGGTGTGGCCCAGTGAGTGAGTGGTACCCCATATCAGGGTACCAGCTCCAGTTCTGGCTACTCTGCTTCTGATGCAGCTTCCTGCTAATGGTCCTAGAAAGGAGAACTTGGGCTCCTGCCACTCAGGGAGACCTGGATGGAGTTCCCGGCTCCTGGCTTCCGCCTGGCCCACCCTTGGCTCTTGTGGCCATTGGGGGAGTGAACCAGGGGATGAAAGACCTCTGATGTCTCTCCCTCTGTCTCTCTCTGTCCCTCTGCCTTTCAGATGAATTAATAAACAAATAAATAACCTTTAAAAAATAAGTAAAATGCAACAGGCATCCAGCTGTTTGAATTACTATCACCAACTACAGCCATGCTGAAACTCGGGCAAAGGTGGGTCACGTTATTCCTAATGACTATTTAAGACGAGGCATTAATTCAAAGCAAAAGGAAAGAGATGCAGGTGTCAACGCTAATTCGCTGTGCCAGGCTGAGCCCAGGTGAGACACCCTCCCTTGTAGGGTGCACGCAGCAGCCTCTGGCCACCCGCGAGCCTGGCACACGTTTACCACTGAGGACCGCCTTGATTCTTTTCTCGTTAGCCCTGGACAACAGCACTTCTCGGCCCCAAGTCTCCTAAATGCGTGACAGGGCTCCGTTAGAAAGCCGCCACTCACGCGACACGGACTCTGCTCTATCTGCTTTCTGTTCAGCTGACCACAGAAATAGATAAAATTCTTGACAGCTCAGCCTCGCCCGCTCACGCCTGTCTCAGCCAGTCTCAGCCCCCACTCCTGCAGCACCCTCATCCCGCCGCTAGGTGGCAGGCGGTCCGCCGACGCCCGAATCCGCTCTCTCCAGAGCCGACCGCCGGGACCCAGCGACACCACCCAACCCCGGAGATGATTGGCTATTTGCCGATGACCCGGGGGCGGAGCTAGCGGCAGAACCGGAAGCGCTGGGCAAGGCGAGCGCCCGGTGTCCCGAGACTGGGCGTGCGCACTCGGGACCCCCGCGCCGACTTCAGACCGGCTGCAGCGCCGCCTCCGGCCTGAGGGGGGCAGACCGGGTTCCTGCGTGACAGAGAGCGGAACCTGCGGGAGGGGGTCACACGGCTCAGGGCTGGGCCACACGGAGGGGCGGAGTCACCTTGAGGGGAGGGGTCACAATGACTGGGGGAGTCACTCTGAGAGGTGAGGGTCTCACCGCGAGGGGAGAACACACAGAGGAGGGCGTGCGGCGCCGAGGGGTTCCACACGCCGATGGTGTCACGCGGAGGAAAGGTTCCCCCGAAGGGGAGGCGTCTCATCGAGGACGAGGGGGTCTCGCCGGGGAAGCGTTCTTTGAGGGGGCGGGACCCTGCGGAGGGGTGGGCTTTCGCGGAAGGCGGCGCTGTCCCCTCAGGTGGCGGCTCCTCTCTTAGAAGAAGAGAGGGTCATTTGCACAAAGAAATAAGAGGGCGGTCCCTGCTGGGTGGCCACGGGGCGGAGACACGCATCTGAACTTTGGGGACCGGGGGCGGGATGGAGTGAGGCGGAGTCGGGTGCGAGCCAGGGATGGGAAGGCGCCCCCCAGTCACGGGGCGTCACAACCGCCCGTGAAGATAGAAGGTGGCGGGAGGTCCAGAGCTTGGGGCGGGTGGAGGGGCAAAGGGACCTGCGGAACGGGCCGCAGGCCGGGAAGGCGGATCGCTTGCGGGGTCTGCGCTTCTGCCTTGGCTGGTCCGCGGAGCCCCGGAATCGAGCCGCCCCCTGAGCCCGGCCCTCCACGGACAGAGACCCGGGAGAGAGGAGAAAGGGTGCACAGGGCAGCTAAAAGGCATAGGAGCTTCGCGAACGCACAGGCGGCCCTTCCGTTATTCGCGCCCACGCCTGCGTTTCCGTGACCGCGCCGCGTCGGGGGTCGCGGGCCGCGGGCCGCGGGTCGCGGCGGGTGCGCACCTGAGGGGGCGTGGCCGCCGCCCGGAGGCCGGGCCTGAAGGAGTTAAGCGGAGCCGCGGCCCAGCCCCGCCCTCGGCAGGCCGCGGAGCCTGAGCCCCAGCGGCGGAGCCGAGCAGCCGCCGCCCGCCCGCCTCCGCCTGCGGGGAGCCCGCCCGCCGGCGCCCGGGAGCGCCGCCGCCGCCGCCGCCGCCCGGCCCAGGCCCAGGCCCTGCGCAGAGCGGAGCGGACGGAGTGGCGTCCACCCCGGCGCAGCCCCCGGCGCGGCGGGGGCGAGCCATAAGCTCGTCCACGGATCTTACATTCTCAAATGGGAGCGGGAGTCTTTCGCCCCGGATCGGGCTGGGCCGGCGCCCATGGCGAGCGCGGCCTGCCCGGGCCCGGAGGACCCTGCCATGTGAGGCAAAGCCCGGGCTGGGGGCCCGGCCATGGCCGGCGAACGGCCCCCGCTGCGGGGCCCTGGGCCGGGGCCCGGAGAGGCGCCGGGGGAGGGGCCCCCGGGCCCGGGGGGCGCAGGCGGAGGCCCGGGCCGGGGCCGCCCCTCCTCCTACCGGGCTCTCCGCAGCGCAGTGTCCAGCCTGGCGCGGGTGGACGATTTCCACTGCGCCGAGAAGATCGGGGCCGGCTTCTTCTCTGAGGTCTACAAGGTAGGACCAGCCGAGAGGGCAGAGGGGCGGGACCGAGCCTTCGACGGGAGGCTGGAACGAGGGGCCCCGCAGCACGGGAGACAGGGCCCAGACACCGGCTGCCCGCCCCTGCCGCCCCCCCACCCAGGTTCGGCACCGACAGTCAGGGCAAGTGATGGTGCTGAAGATGAACAAGCTCCCCAGTAACCGGGGCAACACGCTCCGGGAGGTGCAGCTGATGAACCGGCTCCGGCACCCTAACATCCTAAGGTGACTGCCCCAGCCTCTTGCCGGCCAGTTTGGTGGGCGGGCCGGGGGGAACGGGACAGATCCCACGGGAAAAGTAGGAATGAGGAGGTGCCGGGTTCTTACAGCCTACCCTCCCGTCTTGCGTGGTCCCCTTGCAGGTTCATGGGAGTCTGTGTACACCAAGGGCAGCTGCACGCTCTCACGGAGGTGAGCAGCGGCCAGAAAGGCACTGAGGGGCCCGACAGATCGGCAAAGGAATCATGGGGGGGCGGGGGGCGGGGCCTTCCCTTCCCCAAACTTCCCTTTGGCCAAACCACATGTAAGAGGCCTCGGCTGGTCTCCTCCCGAAATCGCCCAGCACAGTGCTGTGCAATAGAATTTTCTACAGTGATGGGAATGCCCGATATCTAATTGTCTAAACATCTAATTCCGTGGCCAGTGTGGCTGAAGAACGGAATGTTCATTACATTTTAACTTGATAACCTGACCCTCAGTATTGCGCGGAGCCTGTGGCTACTGCACAGAACACAGACTCACCCTTCCGACATTTACCAGCTTCCTGAGTGTCCCCTGGGAGACCTAGAATCCAGAGCAAAGCCTTGACATCCGTTCCCTTTCTCCTCCCCTGTGCCCCAGTATATGAATGGGGGGACCCTGGAACAGCTGCTCAGCTCCCCCGAGCCCCTATCCTGGCGGGTCAGGCTCCGCCTGGCTCTGGACATTGCCCGAGGCTTGCGGTACCTGCATGCCAAGGGTGTGTTCCACCGAGACCTCACATCCAAGGTAGGCTGCCCGGGTGGGTGGAGGCACGAAGCGGGAGTGGAGACTACTAGGTCGTGACTGGCCCATGAATGTTGGAATGTGGACAGTGGGCAGAAATGGAGGCAAGGCACTGGGGAATAGCAGGGAACTGAGGTGAGGGCATTGTTTCAGGGGCTGAATTTGAGTGATGTTGCCATGTTGGGGGGGTGCACTGGAGAACGGGGAATCAAAGAGGGTTGCTAGAGTGGCAGGGCTTTGGGGTGTGCGTTGGGAGCCAGAAAGCAGAGGGTGATGGGTATGTGGGATGCTGTGTGTGTGTGTCAGAACTGTCTGGTCCGCCGGGAAGACCGAGGCTTCACGGCTGTTGTGGGTGACTTCGGGCTGGCTGAAAAGATCCCTGTGTACAGGTGAGGTGGATGCCCGGGTTCCCCTACGCCCTGGAGCACTTCCGGGGTGGGGGGTGCCCGCCTCATCCCCTGGTGCCTGGGAGGGTGCCTGAATGGGATGCTGCTGACCAGCGGCCCTTGCAGGGAGGGGGCAAGGAAGGAGCCGCTGGCTGTGGTGGGTTCCCCGTACTGGATGGCCCCAGAGGTGTTGCGAGGCGAGCTGTATGACGAGAAGGTAAGACACCGACCCCCCCCGGTACTCTCCTGAGACCCCATCTCCACAGCACCCGCCAGAGTCAAAGGTCCCAGGACCCCCGCCCGCCCCTCACAGGCCCTCTTCTGCCACAGGACTGGCAGGGTTCACTCCCCCACCAAATTTCGGCATAACAGAATTCTGAAACGGAAACTGCCCATCCCTCCCCCCGACATTACCATCTCCCACCCTAGGCCGACGTCTTCGCCTTCGGGATTGTCCTGTGCGAGCTCATTGCCCGAGTACCTGCGGACCCTGACTACTTACCCCGGACCGAGGTGAAGGCTTCTAGGTTGGAAAGGAAGGGGACCTCCTCATGGGCAGCTCATGACCAGGGAGGGTTCCCTGGAGGTTGGGGTCCTGCTCGGGGGGCAGTGTGGGAGTAGGAGGAAGACCCCGAGGGAGTCTGATGGGAGGCCTCCTCTGTCCCCACAGGACTTTGGCCTGGACGTGCCTGCTTTCCGCACGCTGGTGGGGGACGACTGCCCGCTGCCTTTCCTGCTCCTGGCCATCCACTGCTGCAGCGTAAGGGTCTCGCCCTGCTCCCTGAGCTGACCTGGCTGCCCCACGGGCCCCCAAGGGGAGGGGAGGAGAACTCGGGGACCCTCCAGAGCACGAGTGAAGCTACCCCTTTCTCTCCCCACCAGATGGAACCCAGCACCCGTGCTCCCTTCACCGAAATCACCCAGCACCTGGAGTGGATCCTGGAGCAGCTGCCTGAACCAGCCCCGCAGCCCAGGACTCCCCTGGCCTACAATCAGGGTAAGTGAGCATGACCTTGACCCAGATGAAACCCATTTGCCTCTCTCCTCCTCAGAACCCAGAGAATTACAGGGGGAAGCTCAGTGTATTTAGTAGTTGAGAAGGCGGGGAGTGGGGGTGGGGTGAGGGTGAGGGTGGGGGTGGGAGAGCATCTCGAGGAAGATGGCTTTCTCAAGTTAGAGCCTGAGGGGGCAGAGGAGGTAAGGGGGCTGGGGTGACACCCCCTTCCCAGAGCACCCCGCAGGGAACTCCTGAGCTCCAGTCCCACCAGCCTCGGAGGACAACCAGGCCCTGGAGGAACTCTGACCAAAGCCGAGAACAGTGATCTCAGACTTCTCTGTCCACAGGGTCTGTTCTAAGAGGGGGTCCCTCGGCCACGCTGCCCAGGCCGGACCCCCGGCTCTCCCGGAGCCGGTCAGACCTCTTCCTGCCCCCATCACCAGAATCGCCCCCCAACTGGGGGGACAGTCTGACGCGAGTGAACCCCTTCTCTCTACGGGAAGACCTCAGGGGTGGCAAGATCAAGCTCCTGGACACACCCAGCAAGCCGGTCACACCCCTGCCCCTTGTACCGCCATCACCGATGCCCTCCACCCAGCTGCCCTTGGTGAGCACGCCGGAGAACCTGGTCCAGCCAGGAACACCTGCCCGCCGCTGCCGCTCGCTGCCCTCGTCCCCTGAGCTTCCTCGACGTATGGAGACGGCACTGCCAGGTCCTGGCCCTCCCGCCATGGCCCCCTCAGCTGAAGAGAAGATGGAATGTGAGGGTAGCAGCCCTGAGCCAGAGCCTCCAGGACCAGCTCCCCGGCTGCCCCTGGCCGTGGCCACAGACAACTTCATCAGCACTTGCTCCGCCTCCCAGCCCTGGTCCCCTAGATCAGGACCTCCCCTTAACAACAACCCCCCGGCTGTGGTCGTGAACTCCCCGCAAGGCTGGGCTGGGGAGCCCTGGAACCGGGCTCAGCACAGCCTGCCCCGGGCAGCAGCCCTGGAGCGGACAGAACCCTCGCCACCCCCTTCAGCACCCCGGGAGCCCGACGAGGGGCTACCCTGTCCTGGATGCTGCCTCGGCCCCTTCAGCTTTGGCTTCTTGTCCATGTGCCCCCGCCCCACACCAGCTGTTGCCCGCTACCGCAACCTGAACTGTGAGGCAGGCAGCCTCCTCTGCCACCGAGGGCACCACGCCAAGCCACCCACACCCAGCCTGCAGCTGCCTGGGGCACGCTCTTAGCAGTGGGGCCTGTGGTCTCGGGACACCCTGTGAGGACAGAGTGCACTTGCTGGCCAGTGCCAGCCCCAGACGGGCTGACCGGCTCTTCTCCCCGTCTAGGGGAGCCTCAGCGTGGACTTGAGGGACGGAGCACTTTTCCTATCCGACCCCTGGGCTCGCCCTCCCATGGGGGTCACTGAACCAGACACAGCATTGCTGACACACAAGACTAACACGCGCGATTATTTAAGAATATTTCAATAAAACTGCCTGGCTGGCCCCGGGCTGCCCTTATCCCCTCGGCCCGTGCGCCCTCCTCCCCGCCCCCACTCCCATGCCGCCATGGGAGGTTCTTGGGGAGGCCAAAGTCCCTTCTCAAGGCTTCTTCACCCTGTTCCCAGGAATAGACGAGTTTCTGGGACAAGGTTTTAGGCAGCTGCTGGCTAGAGTGTCGTGTGGATCATGCCTTGGCTGGGCACTGCCCAGAGAGGAAGTACTTGGGGGGCAGGGTGGAGGCACTGAGGTTTGGCCCCGAAGTCCACAGGTTAGAGGTGAGGGTCACAGGCTCTCGTCAGCATGAATATCTGGAAGAGTACAGCATGCGTGAGCTCCGCCGTTGACTGTCATTGGGCCCCCGGCCAGCTCCCTGGACAGCCACCGCCCCAGCCTCCCTTCAACTCTAGGTCTTAACCTGCCCCTCTGCACTCCCAACCAAGCCGCAGCCCCGCCCACTGTGGCTATGGACAGGACCATCATGTCCAGGAAGAACGCTGCCCTCTGCCCTCCCCCCGGGCCCCACTCTTCAGTCCTCTACCCCTTGGACTCACCATGCCGCCACCCTGGCTCCACTCTCACCCAGATCAGGGCAAAGGGTGCTCCTCGTCTGGAAACCGGAAAGAGGCCACCTCACAGATGCAGGGAAGACGAGTCTTACAGTCCCGTGGCTCCAGAGTTTCCCATGACCAGGTTTTTAACGCGGCACATTTTGAGGTTTCAGTAACAAAACTAAAGGGTGGTGAAGTGAAAGTGAAAGACTGAATCCTCCCTTTCCTCCCCTGCCCTGCACAAAACCTAGCCCGAGTCCTAACTCCCTATGCCTCCTGACGCATGGCTCGGGGACACGTGTCTGGATTCTAACCTAAGAGGCTTTGGGGCCAGAGGAGGGAAACTTGCCCGAGATCTTAGGATGAAAACACCACGGGCTCCGCGAACACGAGAAGTGGCCACCTCGGGTCAGGGACTCTCGGGTTGATCCTTGGGGTTAACCTGCTTTCCTATTTCCCTGGGGCTGCTGTAGTGCCCCAAGTGGCCCTGACTGGTATAGCACAGATTCAGCTTGGGAAGTTAGAATGCTGGCACTTCCCAGCGGTCAAGCCCCGGCTGAACCTCAGCTTCTCCTTCTCAAAGAGGACGTCGATCCTGACCTAGAAATTATTCCAATTAATTGTTTTAAATGTGCCATACACTTCTACATACTAGGGATACAGTAGAGACTAAGACTGCCTTGAAAGGTTCTTACATAGAGGAAACAAATAGGCAATTACAGTATTAACTGATGAAAACGTTTTGGAATCAGAACCTAAGGAGGAGGTCTCATTATTGTGTCGTTATGAAGGGATTATAGAGTTGAAAGCATGCAAAAATCCTAACGAACTTACCCATTAAACACTGTACCGTCACTCCACCGCCAGCCATCATTAAAGCTGAGGCCAATCCAATACAAAGTATCCCATGACAACTGCAACCTTAAGTTGCTAAAAGCCTGAAGGGAGAGTGCACGAGAACACAGGGGTGTAGAGAGTGTGGCAGAAAATGGACACCGGAGGAGGGGGGCCTATGAGCTCTGGCAAGAGGCTGAGCCTGCCTTTGGCACTGGACAGCTCATCGGTGACTTGGCCCCGCGTTCTTCAAGGGTCACCCTTTAGATCACCTCCCAGCTGGGTAAGGATTTCTGCCGGCCTTGGGAGGGGAGGCATCCCCTGGGTTGTTGTGGTCCAGCCGGTCGCCACCATCCAGCCCGCCAGGTAACACACCTCTCGGCCCAAGGGACCACGAGGGTCAAAGACTGGTCATCAGCCTGGAGAGCTGCCCCGGGAGCTCAGATGCGAGGCTGAAGGAGAGAAAGCTGCTACACGGCGGCTCTCTGGCCGGTGCTAGCCGGCTGGGAGGGACCCCCTGGAGCGCTGTGCTGAGAAGAGGCTGCTGGCACCCAGTGCTGCAGAGTACCGCGATCAGCCACGTCTGCCACAGTCCAGGTGCCAGCGTGCTCTGCTGTGCTGACTTGGTGACACGTGTCCCTTTACCAACTAGCAGCCCTCCGGTCTGTGCGGAAGCGTGCGCTTACTTACTGAATAATAACTCCAAGGACGGTCTCTGTCTATGGCCAGGTCAGACGACAGAGATTTACAATATCTCTGACTTTCCTCCCAATCTCTCTCAGTGAATGAGATATGAAAGCATTTTCCCCGGATCAGTGTCCATCCCACCGGGCAGCAGGTGTCTAAAAATCAGGGAGAATGTGACAGCAGCAGCACCACCCAGCAATCTGGTCACTAACAGTATCCCCTCAGGGCTACTCCCCGCACCTACAGGCACTTCTGGTCCTTGACCCTGGCAGTCTTGCCCTGCCCCGCCGCCTCCACCCCCGGAAATGCCATGTCTATGTACTCTCACTAAAAGGTCTTAACACTCAACATCACTTATTTATGATCTGGGAGTTTTAATAGGACCGGTGTTTCCACCTCCAATTCCTGAACACTTGCAGTACACCTGAATTTTGTCTAATCTCACCTGGCACCCTTAACTATTCACTAGGCCCTCACTCATTCATTCATCTCTTTTGCTCCCTAAACATCCTCCACTGCACATTCAAAACTTTGCCATGTGAATCCCTTAACTGTGTGATTAACTAACTGGAATGACATATTCTAGACCCGGAAGGCATGGTCAGATTTTCATTTTTAAAGGATCTCTCTGGCTCTAATATGAAGAATGGACTGGGGAGAGTAGGGGTAATGGCTAGGAAAAGAATTCAAAAAGCTGTTACAGTTAGCCTTGCAAAAGGCCAGGATGGGCAAGGTTTCAATGGGATTATAGACTTGGTGGTGGGAAATGGAGGGCAGCCCCTCTAAGGAAGCAAGAAATGAGGGCGTCCGCTGAAAGCGAGAGGAAGGTGGTAGGGAAGAAGTTACTAGGGAAAGCAGGCTGACCATGCAGAGGTTGCCAGGCAGTGCTTGGAGCCTGGAGTCCCAGTGGCGCCAGGTGGAACGATTGCACAACCTGGCACACCTTGGTGCAGACCTGGGTAAAGTGGTCAACTGGGTTGAGCCAGAGTTGAGGTCTTGCAGGTCAAGTGCACCAGAAAGACCCTGGAACAAAGGAATGAGTAGCTGAGCCATGGGCTTGGGACCCAATATAGGTAGAGAGGGAGGTGAAGACAGGCGACAGCTGGTGGGAAGAGCGGAAGTAGGGGATCAGCAGGTGGGAGGCCTCAATGAGGTGGAGGGAGTGTGGGGAAGGGCTGGAGGAGCGGGCGGCTGTTATGGGAATAGAAGTCTGCAACTGCCCTTTCGACAGAGCAGCAGTTTGGGACGCTATGGGAAGGGGTGGCAGCACTGGCACGGGACTGGGGGCACAGAGGATAAGGAGACCAAGGGAACAGGAGCCGGAGGTACGTGCACAGAGTCTTCCTGCCCCTCAGATAATAGAGCCTAACCCTAACCATCTCCAGCCCCATTGGCCCCGGCGCCTTGCACAGAACCTCAGCCTGCTTCGGCCTGGCCTTTCCCCTGTCGTGTGTCCGTTCAAAGCGGATGGGCACAGCTGGAGAAAGTCCCTAACCCTCGCACTCACCCATCTCACTGCGGGTGCCACCCACCCATGAACTCCAGCTGCCCTGCCCCTCCAGGCAGCAGGAATGCCTCACCTCCGAGGGGCTCTCGATGGAGCAAAAATCAGTTAAAGCTATGGACCCTGTCTTCTGAAAAAACGTACAACCAACTTCACACCTGAACTCAGGGGGCTGCGGATCCTTGCTGCAGCTGCCAGCCAGCTGACCCCTGAGTTTGCCAGGCTGCCCTGGACGATGATTGGCACTGCTGGCTGCACCCTGCTCTCCCCGCAAGGATCTGCCCTGGAGCTCAGGGGTCCCCCTCAATCCAGGACGCAGCTTGATCCTTCTCCCTGTTGGCCGAGGCTAAAGCTCTTGTCAGCCACTGCCCCTCTCCTGAACAGCTCGCTGGCTCCTGAGAGCTGCCAGGCTCCCGCCCCCGGTGTCCCCTCCCAGCCAGCCCCTCCGCATCCCCTCTCCCCAGGGCAGATACCTCGTGATGGGCACGTGAAGAAGGGCTTCAGCGTGGCCTGAACGTGGCTCAACCTCTGCTGCAGGGCGCTCCTCTGTGCCACCTCGCTCTGCAAGGTCTCCTGTGTCTTTTCCTTGTCCGACTGGCAGCCCTGTAACCGCTCCTCGGCAGCCTGGTGGACCCTCTGCTCTGCCTGGAGGGCTTCCTGACTCTGGGCCAGCTCTCTCTTGGAGCCCTGCAGGTCCATTTCGCTCTGCCCCAGCTGGATTGTCCTGAGGTGGAGCTGCTGCAGAAGGCTGCTGTTAGTGGCTTCCAGAACCCCGTCCATCTGCCGGAGCTGCTGAGACACCTGCACATCTGGACGGCCACAGAGAGGGGTTTGGAGGGCCTCCGCTTCAGCCACGCTCTGGAGCCCCGACACTGCAGCAGTGGCCCCATTTCCACATTTTGCAACCTCACCCCCCGCCACGAGCTGACATGTAAGATCTGACTGTCGAAAGCTTCAGGATGGAGGAATTGGCAGTTAGGGAGGGGCAGCAGCAGCCAGACGGGAAGCCGAGGCCGGGCAGGGACTGCAAGTTCTGCTGAGGAAGGGAATCTTTGCGGGGGCAGGAGGGGACAAAGTGGTTTGGGTTAAGGGAGAAACCAGGGTCAGCCATACTCACATCGCACGCCCAGGGAGATGGCAGCCACCCCCAACAGCAGGCAGGTGAGGAGCAGGCCCAGCTGGAGGTACTGTGAGCAGGCTGCCCGGCCTTGGCCTTCAGGGACAGTGGGAAGAAAGCTGAGGGGCTGGGGTGGGGGACAACCTGGGGAAAGCATTCCTAGGAGGACCCCGCAGGGGTGAGGGGGAGGGCATGGCCGGCTTCCTTAGGCGTGGGGATGTTTTGGAGGTGAAGAGGGAGAATGTTCCAGAATAAGGCCTGGGGGGTGTTACTGGCAAGGCGGGTTGAGGGGCACTGCCCTGCCTGGTAGGAGGGGAGCTGATCTCAGAGGAGAGGGGGCAAAGGCGGGGAGGTGCGGAAATGGGGTGTCAGCTGGGGCCGCACCGGGAATGCTCATCCCCGGGCAAGGCACCACCCTCCCTCCCCGGGGCTGCTGCGGGACGATACCCACCAGCGAGCGTCCGCCCGGCAGCTGGTGACGCTGCGCCGCTCCTGGAGGCGGTTGGCGGCTCCGCCTGGCCGTCTGGGGAAGGGAGCGTCAGTGGCTGCCCCGCAGCCTCCCGCCGCCGAGACCCCAGCGCTCCCGCTGTTGCCCTCTGCCTGCAGCTGCTCTGGGACGCCCTCTCAGCTCCCGGGACTCCTCGTGACCGCAGGGACTCCCTCTGCTCCTTGCCTGATCCTCTCTCCGGGGGACCCCATCATCGCCCTCCTGGGTCTCCCTCTAGCATTTCCTCAGGGTGGGGAGGGGCTTTTCCACTGGCTCCAGCCTGGATCACTCTCACCTCTCCACCACCCCCTTTCCCTCCCGTGGTCCCCGTTTTCCGTTGGAGCTCAGCCCCCCTTGCAGCTGCCACCTCCCTCCTCCAGCCCCAGCCTGCCCGCTGCCCTTCCGCTTGGCTTTGGGACAGCCCTCACACGAGGCCCCAGTTGCCCTCCCCTTCCCAGCCAGGGTGCTGTCCTCTGGAGACCACCGTGGACTCCCCAGCTCAGGACATGGCCCCCACAGACACACGAATCCCCTGTGCTCGCTATACCTGCCTGGTCCCCTGTTGCAGAGGGAGCCAAGGTCTGGGGCCCCCCCAGGCCTGGGGGCACCTGCACGTTCTCGTAGGTGAGTTCTCCATCCTCATCGGACTCTGGCAGTGGAGAGGAGAGAGTAAAAGGAGGAGGGTGGGAGTGGGGATGGGGGCGGGCAGGTCGTGAAGGAGGATGGGACCGCCCTTACCCTGTCCCGGGAGGGAGACGCTCTTCCTCAAGGGAGCCTTCACAAACCGCAGCTCTGCGTAGGTGATGGCCTCCGCCATGGTGCCCAGCACCTGGCCTCCACCCGGCTCCCCTCTCCGCCGCCGACTTGAGCCCCTCTTGCTCTTCTGCCCTTAGACCCTGCTCACTCCTCGGCTCTGAGTTCCCCCTGTGGCGGGGCGCAGCTCAGCACTTGCCCCTGTGACTTGCCGTCACAAAAGAGGAAGGTATGAATGAGTCAGTGAAGCAGAGGCATCCTTGGGCCTGGCCAGAGAGGGGCCAGAGAGGGTGCTGAGGGCCAGGGCACGGGGCAGGGGCAGGGGGCCTGGCGCTGCGTCCTGCCAGCACTCCCCCTTTGTGTTCTTGAGAGCCACTTTGGCAGTGCTGGGCTCTGAGGCTCCTCCCTGAGTGGCCCACCCTCCCCTCCTGACCACCGCTGTCCCCAGGGGCTTGCCCATGTACATGTAGTTGCTGCTCTTTGGGTTCCAACCCGCCCTACATGATCACCCCAATTATTGCTCCAGCGTGAGGCTCCATCCTCCCCCATCCAAGTGGGGGGTCCTGCTCTGGAACCCGGCTCTTCAGCATCCTGGGGTTCCCATAAAGGGATCCTGATCTGGCAGCTCCTCAAATGGGGCTCACGTCCCCCTGCCGTCGGCTTGGGGGCTCTCAGGACTGACAAGTGAGGTTCCCACACACAGGTTCTCACTCCAGAGCCGTTCTGGGGAGCTGGCCCCTGTGCTAGCATCTCTGGCTGATTTCACCTGTGACTGTCAGCCCTTTCTGCTTCCTGTCTCCCAGCAGCTCCTGTGTCCTTGCCTCTGAGGCCAGGGAGCAGGTGCATGGGGGGTTAACAGGGCCAAAGCTCCCAAGACAGGTGAGGCCAAGAGATGACGCAGACCCAGACGCTGAGTGTGCATACTCTGAGCCACCAAGACTTTCACATTTTCTTGGTCTTACTTTCCTAGAAAAGTTCTCCCTTGAAAAAGCCCTAAGTCTGCCCTCTTTGTACTCAGCCCTGCGAGAAAAGAGGCGTTTGTGAGGGAGTCCCTGAGGCCTGCGAGGCCCTCATGGGTGGTGAGGGCCCGGCTGATGGAGAAGAGAGGGAGACTTGGCAAGGGGAGAAGGGCCCGCGGGCAGAAAGCACTCCCGAACATTGGGCTTGCAAGATGTGACCCCTCACAGGGACTCCCACGGGGCCTACATCGGGGATGGCACTGGAAACCAGGGCCAGCAGGGAGGCAAGAAAAACCCACTGCCGTGTGGGTGACACCTGCCCCCTCAAAAACCCGTCTGGCAGCTGGGGAGGAAAAAGGAAGGGGAAAAAGTCCTCGCTACAGGCTGACAGTTCGTGTGGTTGGTGGTGTGTGGCGGACCCTGCACTGGGCCCTGGAGCTTGCCCGAAGCTTGCTCAGCTGCCCCAGAGAAAAGTGGCCGTGCAGGCAGGAGCGCACACTTGTCACCTCCGGGATGGGACTGAGGAGAGGCCGGCGATGCATATGTGCGGGTGTGTGTGCATGTGAACAACACACGCATGCCCCGGGTGTGCACAGGCGAGGCGGGGGTGGATGTCAGAAGCCGCCCAGAGGGTTCTGTGGGCTGTGGGGTACCTGTCATCACTGGTGTCTTTTACCAGGGCAGACACTGACAGGCCATTTTCAAAGAAGCCACCAAAGGTCATGGCAACAACTGCTACAATGTTTCCTTTTTGCGGCTCACCCCTGAGGTGTTTCTGCAGCTGCTAACGGTCTCTGCTTGACTAAAGTTTCCAGCAGCCCTGGCCCCTCCCCCCGGAGGCCTGGGAGGGTCAGTGTAGTGTGTGTGGGGTGATTCCCCAGGGGCCTCAGAGGCCATGACAGCAGCTGGGGGCAGAGTGGGTGGGGACAGTGTATCTGCGGGGGCGGTACGCGGGTACGTGTGGGCAGCCAGGGAGTCCATCCATCGCAGGAAGCTTTGCAGGTATTCCAAAAGCTGGAGATAATGTCCCAGTGTTCATAACCAGTACACAAATGAACATGACCCAGTGCCAATTAAAGTACCAAAACCAAGCTTGCAGTATGCGCCCAACAAAAGATGGGCGGGGGGGTGGGGAATGCGCACAGCAGCTGGGCGGCTGCTTGGGATGCACTGGGACACCTGCCGCCCCTATCAGTAGAGTGCCTTGTTGGAGACCCAGCTTCTCCACTTCCAACCTGGCCTTTCGCTAATGCATGCCCTGGGAGACGGCAGGCGATGGCGATGGCGATGGCAATGACGGTGGTATAAGACCTTGGGTCCCTGCCATGCACTTAGGAGATCTGTATCAAGTTCCAGGCTCCTGGCTTCAAGCCCAGCCCAGGCAGTTGCAGACATTTGGGAAGTGAACCAGCAATGGAAGATTTCTCTCTCTCTCTTTCTCTCTCCCTCTCTCTCTCTTCCTCTTTTTCTCTCTTTCTCCTTCTCTCTCTCCCTCTCTCCTGCCTTTCAAATAAAGTTGAAAGACATAAGTAATTAAAAAAAAAAAATAAGTGAGCAAGTGGCCTAACTCAACTTTCAAGAGGCTTATGGGGGCCAGTGCTATGGTGCAGTGGGTTAACGCCCTGGCCTGAAGTGCTGGCATCCCATATGGGCGTCGGTTCTAGTCCTGGCTGCTCCTCTTTCAATCCAGCTCTCTGCTATGGCCTGGGAAAGCAGTAGAGGATGGCCCAAGTCCTTGGGCCTCTGCACCCATGTGGGAGACCTGGAAGAAGCTCCTGGTTCCTGGCTTTGGATCAGCGCAGCTCCGGCCATTGCAGCTATCTGGGGAGTGAACCAACGGATAGAAGACCTCTCTCTCTCTCTCTCTGCTTCTCCTCTCTGTATAACTCTGACTTTCAAATAAATAAATAAATCTTAAAAAAAAAAAAAACGAGGCTTATGAAGAATGTGCCCAAATGGCCTGGGGTGAGCTCAATCGCCCACCCACAAGGTCTTGGATATTTTTTTTTTTTTTTTTTGACAGGCAGAGTGGACAGTGAGAGAGAGAGACAGAGGGAAAGGTCTTCCTTTTTTCCGTTGCTTCACCCCTCAATGGCACACCGCACTGATCCGAAGCCAGGAGCCAGGTGCTTCTCCTGGTCTCCCATGCGGTGCAGGGCCCAAGCACTTGGGCCATCCTCCGCTGCACTCCCGGGCCACAGCAGAGAGCTGGACTGGAAGAGGAGCAACCAGGACAGAATCGGTGCCCCGACCGGGACTAGAACCCGGGGTGCCGGCGCCGCAGGCGGAGGATTAGCCTATTGAGCCACAGCACCAGCCGGTCTTGGATATCTTAACCAGGCTTGGTCTGTATTTCTCGCCTCTTTAGCCCTGTTGGTGATGGATGCCTAGCTCTTCTTGACATACAGCTTGTCTTAAATCGTTTGAGAACTGAAGTTTGTTCAGCTTAGTCAGACTGAAGCAGCCTGAATGCGCTGCGTCCACGCTCCTGGTTGGTTAGAGGGTGCACGCATACTCTTGCAGGTGGGGACGTGCGCTGAGTCAGGTTTAAACAAGGCAGATCTATGTGTGGTTGTCAATCACGACAGGAATCAGGACCGATACAGTGCTGGCTATTGATTAAGGAAGCACATCCCAGTCCCGCCCTGGTTTTTATATTCATGCAGGGAGAGGCAAACAATTGGGTTGTTAACCATTCTGACTAGAAGGTCATTAATAAGTTTTCCGCTAGGGGCTGGCACTGTGGCGTAGTGGGTTAAGCTGCTGCCTGCAGTGCCGGCATCCCATATGGGCACCAGGTTGAGTCCCGGCTGCTCCACTTCTGAATCCAGCTCCCTGCTAATGGCCTAGGGAAGCAGTGGACGATGGCCCGAGTGCTTGGGCCCCTGCACCCATGCGGAAGCCCCAATGAAATTCCTGGCTTCTGCCTGGCCCAGTCCTGGCTGTTGTGGCCACTTGGAAAGTGAGCCAGAGGATGGAAGATCTCCCTCTCTGTCTGTATAACTGTGCCTTTCAAATAAATAAATATTTACAAAATAATAATTTTTCCTCTAATGGCTCTAAGACAGAAATCCCAATGACATGGGCATCCCAATGAGCATCTTGGCTGCTGAGCGAAAACTGGCCTCCAAAGCTTCCTCCTCCCAGATCCTGTTGAAAAGTCGCGTTCGCTGGGGGCCTGAGCGCAGGACATCGCCACAGCCTGGGCAGGATGCCACGGACTCGGGCCTCTGCAATCGCCATTGCACTCCGAGGCGCGCAGTCTTGCTATTCCCTCATGAATAGCGTCTGAGGGGGGATCCCCGCCTCTCCCCAGGTGTGTCACCACAGCCTTTGCAATACTGACGTTCACGGTCCCTTTGGCAGCTGGGCACCACGAGTCAGGGTGCCTGTGACTGGGGGCTGCCCCACTGCTGCCCAAGGGTCGGATCCCTGGCCGGCTTTTAGGAGCTGGGGAGCAGTGCTTATCCAGGCCCATGACATCAGCGCCTGAGGTTATGATGGACAAACACCAGAGCCTGCTTCTTGCCGTCTCCTGGGAATGCATTGTTAAGGTAGACCAGAGCAGCGCCCGAGAGCAAGGGCCTCTGGGAAGAACTCACAGCGTGGGAAGGGGCGCCTCTGGATCAACTTGAAGAAAGTCCAAGAAGTCACCTGAGATTCTGAAAGCCTGGTACCGCAACCCAGTGGCCTCCAGGAGACACCCCCCCGCCCCCCGCCTTGTCTACCGACAGGATGCAGTGGACAGAATAATGGCTTCCCCAAAGCGTTCATCTCCTGATCCCTGGGCGCCCGTGAACAGTGCACTTCGCGTGTGTGGCTGTGCCTCGGCGGAGGCTCTCCATGTGGGGGAATCGTCCTGTTTTATCCTCATCCGCCCAACCGATCACACGTCTCCCAGCCTTGGGAAGAAAGCGATGCCATGAGGAAAGGCGGGTCGGAGAGGCGCCAGGTGAGAAAGACTCGCACCGAGGTGCTTGCTCTGAAGGTGGAGAAAGGACCAGGAGCCAAGGGGTCCAGGCAGCCCCTGGAAGCTGGAAGAGGCCAGGAAACGGACTTCCCTGTGCCTCTGGAAAAGGAAGCAGCTCTGTGGACACCTTGATGTTAGGGCAGAGAGGCCTGCGTTGGAATTCTGAGCCCCAGGTCCACGAGAGAATAACTTTCAAATGTGGAAGGCACCGAGTTCGTGGCAATTTGTTTGGGCAGTGATAAATATGCTTCCTGAGCGGCGGAGGAAGCGTGATATGATAGGAAGATGGTGAGCCCGTAGATAAAGGCCCGTCTAGCCACTCCATGTGACTTGAGAGAAGTCACAGTTTCCCATCTGCAAAATACAAGATAGCCTAGACCTCAATGGAGGGTGTGATTGCTGGAGACACAGGACGTGCAG